TCATAGTTCTCCTGCCACTAAAACAGTCTTACCCACTCCACAAAACACCCGAAACAAATCTATTATTACAGCAGACTGTCCATGTGAATGTCTGTGTTGACAGAATAATTTTAGAAGTAAAACCAACCTTGCATTTGGAGGATTTATGTCTGAGCAGCAGCAGCGAGTTGTACTTCCTGAAAACTTGGCAACAGCGGACTGATATATGAGAAAATAGTCCCTCAACATGCGACGATTCATGCGATGCAAGGTGAGTTTTATTTCAAACATTATTCTATCAACACAGACATTCACATGGACAGTCTGGTGTAATAATAGATTTGTTTCAGGTGTTTTGTGGAGTGGGTAAGACTGTTTTTAGTGGCAGGATAACTATGGCCATTGACATGCACTAGCCGAGCACCAGTGACCTCTGCAAATACAAGGACTGGATGGAATATTTTATAAAGTGTCTCCACACGTCTCCAACACTCTGGCTCACTAGGAAATGAGCTCCTATGTCCAAAATTCTGAACTGTCCCTTTAAAACTGACTGTGATAAAACCTGTTGAAGTAAATGTGATCAGCGGTTAAATGAAGACTGCATACGTACGTACTGTTTGGAATCATCTTGAATTTGCACTCGAAGTTGTGTGTCAGTGGGGAAATGATGAAAACTGAGGTATCGTTAGAATTGTGGATTAGCCGAACATAACGGAACGATACAATAATATGGAGATGAAGAAAAATGGGCCTAGAAAGTTGTAATCACATCTTGCCAAACATCTTCCTGGTTTGTGACGCAAGCATGAATAGAACCTATTACGTGACGAGTACAGCCACTGGCTTCTACTGGCAGTACGTGAGGAGCCCCTCTCAGCTCCGCTCCTACCTGGCACCGCTGGTCACTGCAATGTCCCGCCGTGTCTGGAGAAAAGAGAAACGGCATGACCCGAGCACAAATGTTCGGTCTGTTTCAAAGTCCGGGGAGCACCGGTCCATGTTGTAAGGCTGTCAGTCAGCTGTCAATCATCGCTCTAGAGCCCGCCCCACATCCCCTGGAGGATTTTTTGCTGAGGGACAGATTAAAGCTTCAGGAGGGTGTTTAATGGGTCTTTAAAATGGAAAAGATACTCTATAAATTTCCATTTTCATTTGAGTCATTTAAGCGCTGGAGCTCCCTCTGCTGTCAGCAACAGGAACGAACATTTAGAAAGTAAACGATTGAAGTCATGAAAATGTAACTGATAGCTGAGTACTACCCACTTCTATTTATGATCATTAAAGGGTATTTTATAAATATATAAATTAAGTTTTATCAGCTGTTATCTAAAGTCATACCTTTTTTTACCTTTTAAACTTTTTGAACAAGTCATGCAGGCTTTTATTTCATCACGCCTGGATGACTATGACTGTTACACACTTTATTTCAGCGTCTCACAAAATGTACCAACTACAGTTCGTCCAAAACTCGGCAGCACGACTTTTAACAGGAACCAAAAGAAGAAAGCACATGACCCTATTCTTAAATCTTTGCACTGGCTTCCTGTTAATTTTAGAATTGATTTTAAGATTTTATTGTTTGTTTTTAAAGCTTTTGAAGCTGTGAATGGATTGGCCCAACAATACGTCTTGAACCTCATCCAAATTTACATCCCTGTGCGCTCTGAGGTCTGAGCTCCAGCTCCAGCTCATGGTGCCTAAAACAAGACTTAAAACTAGGGGGGACCGGGCCTTTTCTGTGGCTGCCCTAAGCTCCGGAAAACTCTGCCCCCCACGTCTGAACAAACCCATTTTTATTCTCTGGCTTTTAACACTGTGTGAGTTGTGTGCTCCTCTGTGTCTTTTATTTATTTTATTCATTTTTAATGTACTTTATTGATTTTATTTATTTATTGCTATTCTGTGGTTTTGCTCTTATTTTATTTGACTGGTTTTAATATTTTATATTCTAGTGTGATTAGATCTGAGCATTTATTTTATTGTTTTTATTTTATTATATTTGTTAGTTTTTTTTATTTATTATTACCTCCGCCAAGGAGGTTATGTTTTTGCCGGCGTTTGTCTGTTTGTTTTTGTTTGTCTGTTTGTTTGTTGTTGTTTGTTTGTTTGTTTGTCTGTTAGCAACATAACTCAAAAGGTTATGGACCGATTTTGATGAAATTTTCAGGATTTGTTGGAAATGTGAAAAGGAAGAACTGATTTCATTTTGGGGGTGATCCGGAAGAAATCCTGGATTCTGGATCACTTTGAAATTTTAGTTAACATTGTGGTAAATGGGGCCAAGAATTTTGTTTCTCAATATCTCGGTTAATTATTGACCAAACCCCATGAAATTTGACTCAGGGATGGACAATGGGATCCTCTTTCATATTCCAAAGGCTGATCTGGATCTGATCCAGAAGACTGATTTTATCACAATTTATATAAAAAATGGGGGTAGTCCTTGGCGGAGGTCTGCGCTCTCTGAGTGCTTTTCTAGTTATTTTTAGTTTATTGTGACATGTGCTATAGAAATAAAGTGGATTGGAAAAAGTATTTGAATAAATACAAAGCAGTTTTTTTCCACTCTGGGATAATTTCAGACCTGGAATTGCCAATCTCTACTGTACTAAAGGTAAAATGTTGCTTGTTAAGTTAAAAAATACCACTGCATGACATCACAATTTGGAACAGAGCTTTGGAAATGTAGACAAACTAATAAACCTGGATGTGTGAATGAAACTAACCACAACTCTGAGTATGTTTTTGAGGTGATAACATCAACCAAAATGCATTTTGTGAGTACTACAGGTCTTACAAACATCGAAGTACAATCTAATACTACATCAGTCCTTGTACAGTATATTTAAATACATACCCCAAGGTCCTCACTCAACACTGGCCCATTGTTATAATCTAAAAGGTTAGGCATCATTGTCACCACCCATTCTTCCTCACCACACGCTGGGCTGTATATAGGTCTTTCAATTTCCTGGAATTCTCAATGTTATCTTCGTATAAAAGGTTGCGTCGCTTTAGGTCACTTAGTCAGCGATGGTTTTGACAGGAATCCACTTGGACCTCGCTAACTTCAGTACAAAAGACATTAGGGGAGATACGGGCGAGCGTGGAGGATCTGACACAGCCATATGGGTTTGATATTATGAAAATGAGAGACCTTCGGAGACATTTGTCCTCAAAAGTCTGGGTCCTTGGTGCTTAATAGGTTGAAATGAATGCCGATCACGTCGCACTGGAGACGATGTATGAAAGATGAGAGCGGAGTGAAATATGGGAAAAGAGGAGTGATGAATGGGAGTTATAAAGGTGAGGTATGTCTGGAGAGATACATTTTTTAGCAGAAGCAGAGTCTGTGCTGGTCAAAGAACACGTGCAAATTGGACTTTTTGACAGATATAATGATGTCCCCTTTGCATTTAGTTGCATTTAGTTGCGTCACAGGTAAAACTCTGGACTTCTAGCACTTTTTGAGTCCCTAAACCAACTTGTTCTGCGGTCAAACTGTGTTCAAAACAAATATATGGCTCTAAAAGCATTTTGAATTTGTTTTTGTATAGCAGTTTTTTTACTTTAAAATGTTAATTCCTGTTGCTGACAGCAGAGGGAGCTCCAACACTAGTAGTCTATTTTACAAATGGATTATGACATTATTTTGAGTTATATAATGTGAAATACTTATCCTAAGGTGATCAAAAGGGACATGTTTTAAAGCCACAAGAATGCCTCATGTGATCTTTGGAGTAAAGCCGCTCATCAGTCTGGCTCTGGCTGAACGTGACCAGGGAATGGCCAATATTTGAAGCTGACTGGTTACAGCGTCACAACAGCAGAACAAACCAAACCAGTCAAACTTTGGTTAAATTGTTAAGTTGAGTGACTCAGCATCTTCATGTTTGTTTAGTTGGTTTGGGTGCTTCACTGTTGGCTTCCACCCCAAAACCACTGTGCTGCTCTGTGATTGGTCCACAACACCAGTGACCTGGGTCTATTTGCAAATGCAGTAACTGAGCCTAATGGAGTCTTATGAGTTTGTAAAGTCACTCAACAAATATTGTGAGAATTCATTTTCCTGGCCAGGTCACATTGTGGGTTAACAAGTTTGAAATTCATTGCAAACGTTGTGACTAAACAAACTTTGAAACGTGTTTGTGAAGTAGTTTAAGCGAGCCTTTAGGCTACTATAGTAATAGCATGGTGGTTATACAATGAAAATGTTGTGGCAACTGGGATAACAAAGAGATGAATGCATTTGTAGTCCTGTTCACTATCAGCTAATTACAATAATTTCTCTATTGTCATTAAGCCACGCTCCCTGGGAAACGTGTTCCAGGCAGACCCCAAGGAAGACCCAGGACACGCTGGAGGGACAGTGTCTCTGGACTGACCTGGGAACACATCAGGATCCCTGAAGAGCTGGAGGATGTGTCTGAGGGAAGTCTGGGCCTCCCTGCTCGGACTGCTGTGTGTGTGCGCTAAAGAAGTCTGTATCTTACTGGAATGCCTGAGGCAAATCCTCCACGCCCCAAGGACATAAGCATTATAAATAAGGCATCAATTTAACTCACTTTAAATCTCCCTTTTAGTCTTGTGTTTGTAGCCCTCGGATCAATGTTTACTGGCCCCCGAGCTTCTCGCTGACTCATTTCGCCTCAGGCAGTACTTAATGCAAAATTTAAAAAATAAATCTAAATGATCAAATATCTTTTCCCACTTTAAGTGCACTGCATTTCTCAACATTTACTTGCTCAAGTTAATCTACTATTTAATAAAACTGTAATCTCAGAGAGACAATATGTTTTAAAGTGCTCATTTCCCTATGCAAGAAGCATAGAGCAGAGACAACTCAAAAGTAAATCTCAAATTAAAACAAAAGCATTGATTAAAAAGTGTAGTTAAAGCACTTTTACGGAGTAAACTAATTAAAAAGTTGCTGGAGGCCTGTGGTGTAGGGTCCTGTGGGTGGAGGTCTGCAGGTCTGCTGCGTCCCCAGAGCTCCGTCCACAAACAGGACACGGGATCTGCGCATGCGCACTGCACCAAAACAAGGAAGCGTCATAAATTCCCAAAGAAAACAGAACTGCGCCTGTGTTCCTGCTTTATCCCATCACCATTTCCATTAGATCTCACTCCCGGTGCCTTCTACTCTCCTCTGAGCCTCTGCACGGGTGAGACACGCACTTTACAACGCGAACATATAACGATTTTACAATGACTACGCTATCTTTGGCTAATACGTCACGTACACGTGAAGTGTTAATCCCACAGACTTTAGGGTCAGTGTCGCTAAAGTGTGAAGACAGATCAGGTGAAAACTTCTGCATTTACTTGTCTGATGACTTTTTTGTTTGTTGCAAATCTAAGATGCCAAGTCGGTTATTCTCTCCGAACTGTAGTCTATGCAAACATTATGCTAATTATGTGTTGGCAGTGATTAGCTGCTTCTTATTCCACTTGGATTAATACTGCATACTTGTTTACTCACATACTTAGGCTGGTTATTGTTGTTTTTTATGGCCAGATTACCTCGAATGTGTTAGAGCATAGTAGCAGTTAAGTAGTAGTAGTAATGATAATAGTAGTAATAGGCCTAGTAGTCATAGTAGTACTTAGCAGTAGTAGTAGGCTAGTGTTGACCAAATTAAACCTCTAACTGCAAAATAGTATATAAATAACATAATAATTAGACTTATTAGTATTGTTAATAGCAAAAGTAGACATTTTATTAGTGACTCTCAAAAGTACTAACTGTGAAAATGTAGTAATGTAACAGGTAGATGTGCATTTTTGGTCTAAGTAGTAGTAGTTGTTGTAGTTGTTGTAGTAGTTGTAGTTGGCACCAATACTGAAATATTTGCTGGATCGATATCTGCTTCAAAATATCAGTTCAGCCGATATCCATATAAAAATCAAAACATTTATGTACCAAAATGTAGGCCTGCCATGATATTATCTGTATCGACTTAGTTCAATTAAAGACAGAACAATAATTTAAGGTGGTCAGTATTTATTGTAGTTACTTTTTGCTTGTACTAGTGGTGAGTTTTTGTTATTCTTCTGTACAATGAATAAAATAGGAAGTAGTGGAATAAGACTGTTTCCTGTTTTTTGTTGGCCCACAAAAGTCTCATAATGTTTGAGCTTTTCTTCACACAAAGCTGTTCTGTAGTTACATACAACAGCCACATTTAACACATTTGGATCAGTTTTGTGTTTTGTTTTTTCTTTAAAAGAAATAAATACTGTTTCCAGTCTGTGCACTGGTATCAGGTGGTATTGGCAGATGCTTAAACCTATGTATCAGTGCATCTCTAGTAGTAGTAGTAGTAGTACTAGTAGTAATAGCAGTAATAGTAGTAGTAGTAGTAGTAGTAGTAGTAGTAGTGGGCTATTTGTTGGCCTAACTAAAAGCTCTAACTGCAAAACAATATTTAATTAATACAACAATTATATATTGTTCTTAGCAAAAGTTCATACTAACTCTAAAAACTACTAACTGTGAAAATGTATTAATGCAACAGGGAGATAGGCATTTTTGATCTAAGTAGTTGTAGTAGCAGCAATAGTAATTGTAGTCATAGTAGTAATAGTAGTAGTAGTTGTTGCAGCAGTAGAAACATAGGTATAGCAAATTACTGCTAAAATGCATTATGTTTTGTAAACTTTACAAACTGAATCTAGATCACCTGCTCATTTGAACAAGCATCAATACTGAATAAAGTTACATAAACAGGACCAAATTTGACTTTTCCTGAACAGATTTAGAATGGTCTTGATCTATGTCAGAGTTTGTAACAGCACATGGAAACATCAAAAAACTACTATGATTTACTGTTGGAAAAGAATAGTATAATAAAAGTATAAACATAATTTTATCATTGGGGTGTCAGAGCCCTTTTCTTAGATTCAAAATAAATAGGGATGTATCAGTACCAATACTGGTATCAGATATTGGCACCGTGACTTTGGTTAAGCCGATAACTTGGTTGTGCCTTTAATTTGGCAAAATGAGATGATTTACTGGCTGATGTGGGCCTAGGCGTGTTCATGATGTATCAGTAACAGTTACACGACACAAATGGATCAGTTTTATAATAGGTTAACTTTGTTTTTAGGGAAAAATTCCATTCTCCCTGGTATCGGTTGATATCGGGTTCTGGCAGATATTTAAAGCCAGAGTATCCATATTGGTACTGGGGTTGAAAAAGCTAGATCGGTGCGTCCCTATTGGCTAAGACAACAATATTTGGCCATTAAAAGAACAGGCTATAACATATTGGTAGGTCTGTCACGAAAACACTGCCATGTATTACTGAAGGAAATATAGACACTAAACGATAATATTGAAACTAATTTATGCTACTGAAGCAGTAACCATGAAGCACAATGATCCCAAAAAAGCTATTCTAAATGTACCATATTGTGAAAAAACTTGTTTTACTGTAGATAAATGGCAGAATAAAACACTGTAATAGTTAGTCTGTACCTTTGAGTCCCGGAAGTTATGTCTTTGTCCCTCTACTTCGCAACTCTTTTCGTAGTACAGAAAAATAACAAAAACGTTATGACTAGTACAAAGAAGAAGTAACTACGATAAATACTGACCCCCTTAAATTATTGTTCCATCTTTTATTGAACTAAGTTTATACAGGTAAGATCGTGACAGGCCTACATTTTGGTACATAAATGTTCAGATTTTTATCTGGTTGTGTAAGACTCAAACGGGAAATTCACTGCACCACTTCATCTCTTAAGAGCAGAAACGCCACTTTGTACCTTATTAGTTTTTGTGTCTCTAAATAGGCTTCTACTCTTGGCTTGCTTTGCCTGTATGACTTTTTTAATACCTTAAAAATGTCACACTATAAATAGAAGCTCCGGCCGTGTATAAAATGTCAGTATTTAATTTCAGTCTACACTTAAGAATAGTTTTTCACTGTTTAATCACAACCTGTTTAAATGCATGAAGGAATGGCAATCAAAAGTAGTAGTAGTAGTAGTAGTAGTAGTAGTAGTAGTAGTAGTAGAACACACAAATATTTCTACTGCAGCATCATCAAAACCAAATGCTATATTTTACAAACACAATCAATCATAGTTTTCTTATCTTGCCATTGTGTATTTATGGTTATAATTTGTTTTTGCCCAGGCATAACTAATCTGATTTTTTTTTTTTTTCTTTGAGAAAATTCACATACTAGTAGCAGTATTTAGGTACAGGGCAATATATTGAATCCTAACATTGTTATTGGTAATACCAGGGGATTTTTTTGTTCATAAATTGGCATTGGGGAAAAAAAAAACTAAACTGAAATATTGGGCTGATATTTATTGTATTTTTTGTATTGTTTTTATTACTAAAATTTCAGACTTTATTTTGATCATAAGGAAAAGGCTCAATATTGAAAACCCGAATATCCCCTTGGAAAAAAAAGGTAATTTTAAATGTTAGTTGTGTTTATGTTGCCATTTTGTGGTCTTTACGACTTCTGACAATTCCTAAAACTAATTCAGGTTAAATTTTGTGTTTTTTATTTTTTTTCCCCAGTATCAATACTAAATGAGTTTCACTTGCAGTCTTAGAACTAATTAGTATCTGGATATTGATTGTTGTGTGTTTCCTCAGTGTTTTAGGTCAGGGAAATGTTTTATACCAATTAATTGTATACCATTCTAACCGTTCTAAACTTCCTCCCTCTTTTTGCCGTCTTCTCCTGTTTCAGTTTCTTAACCTGGATGCTCCGTGTGTGCAGAGGCCTGTGTGAGCGGATGTGACAGCTGCTTTATAACCAGCAGCCTTCTGAAAGAGAGGAGAGAGGGAGTCAGCAGTCGTTTTTGCCCTGGTCTGGTGGCAGTAAACATTGGCCCATACTCCCCTGAGCCACCTGAGACATGACAGCAGGGGGAGCCACTGAGGTCTGTGGCAGGTTGTAGTAGTGAGTATGTAAGTGGAAAGTATGTTCTCATAAAGCTCTTAAGTTCATCTGAGGCCTTAAACTCTAAAGGCTGGTAGTGACATTTTACCAACTTTTCCTGGAAGGGCAATAAAGGCCAAGTCTTAAAAGTTCAAATTATCACACTGAAATACTTTTTTAACCAGTATAGGTGCACGTTTGATCCTGAAAAACATTGCATTTTAGTTATGTTAGCTCAAATAAACTACTCAAATAAACACAGTTTTAGCACTTTTAAATGTTTTGCAACTTGAAATCATGACAAACGTCAATGCGGTTGGTAGCGCTGTTTTTCTATTTGGAGGTCCTAGCCTAAAAAGTTTGGTACACCACATGTTTGTCTTCATTAAGATGTTTGTGCTTTGTCTAGAATGTTCCACTGCAGGGGTTTTCAGCAGGTCAAGTTCACTGTCAGACCTGGACAATTCAACACAATAAAAATACCTAAACTACCATATAAACGATCCATAGATACATTTAAAGCCAAAACATCTTCTTGGAGACCAGCAGGTGGTGTACCATCCACTACAAAAGTTTGCATTGCACTTTAAATACATGATTGTTTAGACTTAAATACATGTGCATATACATTGAAACATGTGTCTTTTTAGCCAAAAATAAAACTGTTTTTCTCTGTTCCACAGTTTTACAAATGTACACTGTCTAGACCAGGTCTGTGTGTTTGGAATAGGGTCTGAAATGTCATAGCCCTGATGGCACTGCCACCTTGTGACAGTTCTTTCAAATGAAAAAAAAAATCTGATTGTGACAAAAACACCAATGTTTTCTATTTTAAAATTCAGATGCACTTATTTATTGAAACAGGCTTGTTTGGCATTTAAATGTCATTACACCACTGCTATTATTCAAGTACACTGTGTAACATCCACGTGTAATTGGAGGCCTGTAGCTGCCCCCTGAATCTTCTGGTCTGTGTATATAAAGAATAATTTTAAAAGCATAAGGAGGTGAGGTCGGGCTCAGAATATTACAAATATGCTAATGGGAAACAACATTAAATCAGGGCCTGGACTCAGGTCATCATCGATCACAGCTTCATTATCTTGGAAAGTGTTGGGCTTTTCTAGGAAGTGCACACCGCTTGTAACAAACTAATTACACAAACAACATTTAACATGAATCTTTTGTGTCTCGTTGCAGACTGGACGATGCTAAAGGCCAACCGTAGCACCATGCTAAACGCTGGGTCATCCAACAACAAGGTCAAGTACTCCCGGCTGTCGGCCGATGATGATGGTTACATAGACCTACAGGTAACACAATGCGGTGTTCTTTTCTAACTCGTAATTCTGTTAGTTTAGCAGGTTGTTAGAGATGCAGCCCACACACTCTTACACTATGTGCCGTGGCAGTGGCTCAGCGGTTACATTGTTCTTGGCAGATTTGTTGCCTGAATCACGCTCCAAAACTATTTCATTGTAAACTATACTGTAAACATCTATTGCTATTACTGGCAGAGCGTACTTTTGTTGTGTCCTTGGGCAGTACACTCCATCTGTTTTTCTATAATCTGTTGGCGTGACTGCACGATTTGAAGTTATGTAAATGATGCTCCTCCTCATTAGAATACACACTCCGTCTGAATCTCTGAACTATTTTGACTCATTCCATCTTCCGCGCTCACTCGGCAGCCGCTAATTACCCGCACCTCGCTGTGTCTCCCACGAATAATTAGAGGGAAATCCCATAATTAATTCGTTAGCGGCACGCCAAACCCTAGTGAGAATCCACCCAGCTGTCTGCTCTGGAGACTCCTTTCCTCCACGTTTGCATCATGTTTGTTGATTGTTTGAGCTAAAGCCGAGAACAAACGCGTCCTGTATGTCTCAGAGTAAACAAATACTAGAAATGAAATTACGCTTAATATAGTTTGGATTGTGGGTTTATTCTGAGATGCGGTGAGTGTTTTCGTGCCAAATTTACGCTTTATTAACAAGTGCGCTCTGCCTCAGTGTTAAGAAGTGTTGCGTTGGCGTTGTTAGCAGGTTTCCACTGATAAAAGCAAATTAGTGCAACATTATAGCTTTTCAGTACACTATTGTCGTATACATTTTCTTATTTTATTTGAAATGAATTGGCTTATTATGCAGGGATTAGTAAAGACAATTGTAGTAGTAAGACCACGAGTGTCTTCTTCTTTTTTTTTTTTTTTATTGCATCATTTGCGGCAAACAAAAACTACATGGGTCATGACAGGAAGAGTCCGAGCTGAAACAAAAGGCACCAGTTGCATTCACAACTCCTTTCACTGTACATGTAAGAGACAAAATATAAATTGTAGCAAACAAAACTCAATGCACATTTCATCAACTCCAGAGCTCAACAGTCTATGGGCCCAGTCAAGCAGAAGTAAACAGCAAGGCCAAAAATTCAAGTTGATGCATCTGATATAAAAATGTATTGAACAGATACATATGTACTCTAGTTTATGAAACTGTTGACCTTTTTTTCTGTACCATTTTTGGTTCTAAAGTTACATACATTTTAAACAGACCATGTATGAAACATGGAACAAAAATTATTTCCCAAATTTCAAAGACCTGCAAATCATGTAAATAAATGGATGTATTTCATCATATCTTGTGTTATTCCATCTTTGAACTGTTGATGAAGGTACATGATTTTTTATTGATTTAAAATGATAAAAATTTGCTTGGAAGGACAGACATATTTTATAGAAATAGTTTCCTTTCATTTTGAAGTAATATTAAAGTATTCGGAAGAAAAAAGTTGACAAATTATGCAAAATCATGCACCTTCTACTTGTTTGCACAATTTTCCCTCCGTTACTTTTCCCTCCGTTACTATGACCTTTCTTAATAAAAAATCTTATTACTCAAAAAGTAAGAGGTTTTTCAACCTAATCTTGTACCATATGGTAGAAAACTATATGAAGCAAATATTTAAAACCAGTTTGTTAAGGATATGTAAGTGAGAACCAAGAGTTATCACTGTTTGGATTTATTGCCAAAAAGTGCTGCATATTTCATTCCCTCCGTTACCGACATGAGTTTTTAAAATTTTTTGTCAACAACTTGAAAGAATATCACAGGTTTAACTTTACCCTGTTGGAGTGTAACTCTTTCCTACATTCTGATACTTTACTTATTTCAATAGTTCCTCTAGTTTCTGAATAAGAGACATTTGAATGTCAAAAATCTGCCCCTGTTTCCCTTCGTTACCGCTTGACTGGACCCATATACTCTTTTTAAAAGGTTTCTATAGTGTTGAACTGTTTAAAGTCATTGCATTGAATATTTTACAAACCAAAATCTCTACCAGAAATTTCTTTCTTCCTCGTTCTTATTTTTTATTTATTTATTTATTATTTAAAATACACCGGCTCCTCATGATTTCTAAAACTGTGCGCCGCAATCTTTCCATTGCTCCTGTTTTGTGTTGTGTTTTTAACGGAAGCTACAGTCATCACTTCTTCGAATAACTTTGGAAAAAATCTGCAAAAACATATCCTTGAATCCTATTGGTCAGCCTAGTATGGGTTGTAGTGGCCCCCGCCTATCGCAGCGTCTGTTTACGTGTGAAAAACCAGTACCGTTTCTAATGGTTGTCAAATTACGTCTTTAGTGATATAGCGGAGGTGTCAAAACACATCATAAAGGTTACAAGGGGGATCGTCAAATGTCATCTTCATGGGGGAAAGAGTTAAAGCAGTGAGTAATGGTCACTATTAGAATTGGATCTGGTGTTTTTTGCCCGCATAATGGGTGCGATGTTGGTCTTAATTTTCATTCAAGTGGTCTTAAAAAGGTTTTAAAAAGTCTTAAATTTGAAGTAGTCAAACCTGGGGACACCCTGTTTGTCTTGCTTGGCCTTGAATATTCCACAGTATGACATAAGCAGGTGACGCCGCCAAATTCTGTGTAGAGGCAACCCCATTCACGGTAAGAATGCATTTTAGTTTTTAGCGGTCGTTTCTGAGCTGTCATAAAAGGTACAAGTATACGCAGTGTGACAAAGTGAGACAAAGCCTGCACACTTACTCCCAGACTGCTTTTAATGAATGAAAATGTTTGGATGAGTGGATCTTCGTCAGGTCACGGTTCTCTCTGTGTGTCACTCTTATATAAACCTTCTGCCCTGTGACTGGTTGACCAATCCAAAAGTGAGCTCATCTCTTTTTTATAACCTATGCGATAATTTCACATTATTTTCCCAAAAAAAAGGCAGTTTAAGCAGTAATTTTTTGTACTCGACTCCAGGGTCAACTTAGGTTTGGTTCCATATCCAGAAATGTTGGTTCTAGGAATGTTAATAATCTGACAAGGTTTCTTGCTTGTACCATAAAAGTGAACAAATGGACACTTTTTTGCTCCTGAACAGCTCCACTATCACCTGCTCTGTCCCATTAACTTCTTGGATTCTTTTTAAAGACAATACAGTAAAGTGTAGTTACCTTGTACCTTGTAGTACATAAGAAGACAAAATGAACATCTTTGGCTGCTTTATCCCAGGATATTTAAGGAAGGAGATGGGTGCTGTGCTTCTTTAAAATGGGCAGCTACAAGTTTTTTAGGTCTGCATTTCTAATATTGCTTCTGTGTTCGGATATCCGAGTCTTTAGTGCTCTAGATGTTTGTCCTACATAACCAAGTCCACAGGGGCATTTTAAAAGGTAAATGACACTTTAGGTGGAGCATGTAATTGTTTCTTTGATTTTCATGATCTTCCCTGTGGTTGGGTTGGGTGTGTATATGTACAAGTTTTACATTTGTAAGTAAAATTGCTTTGTTTACATGACCCACAGGGTCTAAAAATGTTCTGTTTCTGGGTGGAATCAGATCAGACTTTACTAGCATTTGTCTGGCCTAGTAGTCTGAATCAAAATTATGAAATTAATAATGTTATATTTATTTTTAATGTAATTTATTTGCCCGATGATAACATATGATTGATGGTTTTGGGTAATGGCTTATGTTATATGATATACCATGAATATTGTGTTATATAGTGTGTTGTGTGGACATCTCCTGTGACTCACTATTTGACTGGCCGTGGCAGTGGCTTTTTCTGCAGCAGACTGATACACAAGCCTAGAGCCTCTCGCAGCTGTCAGTCTGAAAATTGTAATATATAAGTCGCACCGGATTATAAGTCGCAGGACCATCCAAACCATGAAAACAAGTGCGACTTGCAGTTCGAAAAATACTCATCCAGACGTTGTCATTCATTAAAAGCAGTTTGAGAGTAAGTGTGCAGGCTTTGTCTCACTTTCTAGTTTCTGAGCAATAAAAACTCCCAACAATGAAATACATGTTAAAATGTTAAATTACATTAATGTCATACTGTGGAACATTCCAGGCAAAGCAATAACCTCCCCATGAACAAGCTGTTCTTTTAACGCTATAGTTTATCCCTCAACAAACTGAAAATTATAGGATTCTTATGTATGGTTTAGCAGTTATAGTTTACACTTATCTCAAAAGTTAATACTTAATACTGTTTAAAATGCATACTGAACAAAATTTTGGTTCTAAATAAAAAAAATTAAAAAAATCTAAAATTTACTAAAAATTGCAATATTTTCTATTTCTACCAGATTTTTCCCACAAAATCACGCAGCCCTATAAGTGTTGTTCCTGTCTAATGTCTATTTACAAATGTGAAAGATCCATTTTTATGTTACCTCTTGTTTTTCAGTTTAAGCGGAGCCCGCCCAAAGTCCCTTATAAGGCCATCGCTCTGGCCATCTTCCTCTTCCTGATTGGCTCTCTGCTCATCCTCTTCGGGGCCCTTCTCCTCTCTGGCACCATACAAGTTGAGGTGATTCTACTACACTACACTACACTACACACACTTTTAAATGTTTTGTCATCAGAATGGTCAAAATCCTGTCATGGAGGCATCTGGAGGTAAATGAAGAATGACGTAACACATTTTTAGTAATTAATTGATATCATATCCAAATATTCATGATTTCAAGTCTTTATAATGTCACTATGGGACCATAATTGTTTTGAAAATGCTATAGTCGCTGTAAACAACATCATAACTTTAATTTGTGTTTTTGACGATCTGAGTTTCCCCTCTCTTTGCTCTCTGCATTAAGTCTCTCCCCCTTCAGAGCGCGATCACAACACAATCAGCATGCATCCCGCTAATGAAACTACTGCACATCTCATCAGGTTTGTTTAGTTGTTGTGAACAGTTTTGTACAGTATCATGCTTTTGTAGAATTGTTATGTGGGAGCATGGATGACATAGGCTTGTGGGCAGAGTCTTGGACAGGATCGTACAGCCAACTGTAAGGAGGGTTCGAGTGTTCCGGGAGATATCGTTAAAGTTGCTCCTGAGTATAAGTTGCACCAGCCAAAAAATGCGTAATGAAGAAGAAAAAAAAAACCATATATATAAGTTGCACCGGACTATAAGTCACACTTTTTGGGGGAAATGTATTTTTTAAAATCACAGACCAAGAACCAACATTTCATGTTGAAAGGCAAGTTCTAGTAATAACAATAGAAGAGAGAACAACAGACTGTTAACGTCACATATGAACAGTTCTTCAGATAAACTATAACATAAACAACAGAACAAGTTTACCAAACTCTCCATCTCACTCCAAATCACTAAATCCATTGAATTCTTCATCCTCAGTGTCACTTCTGAGCAACTCCATGACCTTTGAAGGTAGGAACGCCGCTTCCTCTTCTAGCTGTTGTCAGACTCAGTATCAGTTCCAGTTAGAATTATTCCGGCCTTTCTGAATCATGACAGGATGGTTTCAATGTCACTGAAGTTCAGGCTTTGTCGTTCCATCCCGTGACTTCCAGGAAAGTTACATGGTGCATCCTCCCAATTGCTATGAAGTTGTGTTCTCCATCCCCACTTTCTGCCAGTCCCTCACAAGTTTCTCGCTCACTCCAAACTTTCTTTCTGTTGCTTGATTACCGTTTTCGGCTGAATATTTCACTACTTGCAGCAAGACCATGGATCTATTAAAATAACAGCAGGACAGCGGCTTTTTCTAGAGGAGACATGCGCAGTAGGAGGGTGAAATGATGGTATTGTAATAGTTCCATGCAGTGGTACAGGAGTAGCAGATACTGACACACAAGCCTAGAGCGCCCTCTCGCTGTCAGTGTGAACATTTTTATATGTAAGTCACACTGGGGTATAGGCCAGTTTCAGCTGACGTCATTGTTATTAAAAGCCCGCGTTGCATGCTGGGAAATATTTTGGTCGGAGGCAAGAAACACGATAGCGGTCAAACACAATGCGTAACCTTGCGTATTTATCCCAGATAATGGTAAATTCCTGCTGCATTATCGGATGCACTAATAGAAGCACGGAAGAAGGAAAATGTCTTTTTCGTATTCTGAGTGAAAAGAACCACTAACGGTGAATTAAATGGCTTTCAGACATTGACAGTGCAAACATAGAAGATCCTAACAAACCGTGGACTCCAAGAAGTTCAACAACACATCGAGACTCTTGGAGGTTTTCATCTTTTCTGCTGTGAATGGCCCAGGAGTTTCCACCAAGTCATTGTGGATGTTGCCAAAGTGAATATTTAGCCAGGTAGTTGGCAATTCCGACCAGAAATTTGGTTTGGTCCAGGCTCTGTCAGGGTTGAAAAGGGTGATTTGGCGTCTGTCGATGCTTATGACCAATTTCTGGTCAAATGGGCGTTAGAGTGGATAAATAACCGGGATCAATACCCTTTACGTGCTTTCTCGCTCCGTCCGTCATGTTGAATTTGTGTTTCTTGCCGCTGACCAAAATAATTCCCAGCATGCAACGCGCGCTTTTGTCAACAATGAAACTCGCCTATAAGTTGCAGGACTACCCAAACCATGAAAAAAAGTGTGACTCGTAGTCAGATACGGTACCAAACATACATGGTGTGCATGTCTAAAACCTCTTCAGGCATGTTTTTCTTGAAGGAACAACAGTATAACATGGTAGAAAGCAAAAACAAAGCAATTGTGCACAATACCGCCTTTTTAATCCCAGTTTCCCCATTGAAATTGCATTATGCTCCACTTCACCTATGCCTCCATCCTTGCATTGAGAATCGTTGTTGTTTACAAACTTTTAAAGAGTCCATTACTCCTTCCAAAACTACAGTGTGGAAAGTTACATAACACAAATTGTCACTCAGTGTGTAATCGCTGTCTCCAGAGCAGCAGGGGGTAGTTGTTTTGCCTTGTAACTTCTTAGAACTCCTCCTAAAATCCACGGGTGACAAAACAGCTTGTGTCTGGTGCTAGCTCAGCCTCTAATCCCTCCTCTGAAGATGAATTTGTGTGTGTTTACATTGTGGAGGTAGAGAAAAGGAAAGCCGCTTTGCTTTGAACACTTGTTGGCAGCCTAATGACAACATTTATTATTTAGTGTTTGCACAGAGGAGTGACAAGATAAAATGTTCCCTTTCAAAATCGTTCTGAAGAATTTGTCTATTTTTTTTTGTTTTCATTTGTATAATTTGAATTGCAAAAAATGAAGTAAAAAAATATGGCATACGGCAATTACTGGAAGTCAAGATGCAATGGATAATGATTAAAGGGCCCATATTACGCTGTTTTATGATATGAAGTACTCCACTGTGTTTTTAAACTCCATACACCTTCACTAATAATAATAATAATTTCTGCACTGGTATTGCCAATCGGTGCAGAACAAAACATAAAAATTTAGCTGTTAACTTGAAAACTACCACTACATGACATCACATCACAGAGCATCTTGAGTTTTGGAGATGTAGACAGACTAATGACAAAGGATTAGGCAAACAAGTGTGAATGAACCAAAACACAACTCCTGTTTTTGATGAGGTAACAGCATTATAACATGGTTTAAACAGTCAATTTTGTGTAATATACAACCTTTAAATTACCGTATATTCCCACAGATGAATGCTGTTGTTGTGTCCTTGGGCAAGACACTTAACCCAACTCGCCCCAGGTGTTTGTGTACACTGGTGTATGAATGAGTGTGTGAATGAGTGAGTAGTTCCTTGTAGTAAAGTGCTTTGAAGGTGGAAAAAGCGCCATAGAAAAATGTGACAATTTACCATATCAATAATGTTGAATTCTCTCGTCTGTTTTCATACATAAGGTGCACCAGATTGTAAGACCCATTAAGAGAAACAAATGGACAACACTTGAGACTGATCCTTAGCCCAGGTGTCCACGATTGGGAGATTGTGGTGTAATTCGCCCGGCGTTGCCTCCCTGTCTTGGTGAATGTGTATTATGAATGTGAATGTGGGTGGATCATTTAATTTGGATTTTTATTTCCTTGGAGGAGGACTCAAATATACATTGAGTAATAATGTGAGTAATAATGTGTTAGATGCAGCTTTGTGCACATTTGTTTACATTTTACAGAAACAAAACTTAAAACCACATGGCTCATTTACATAAACTATAAGCACTGAAAAAAACAGCTCCCTCTTTGTGCGCTGATGCGGTTCAGCTTTTGTCGGACTAAAGAACATGACTCAGTGGAATATGAGTGTTCTTTCTGTGTCGTACTAAAACATTTTGACAGATTTTTGATGCCACATAAAATCAGTTTGAGGTCAGTAAGCACAACCAGAATTAATATATAAGGCGCACCAGATTATAAAATGCACTGTCGATTTTTAAGAAAATTTAAAGATTTTAAGTGCGCCTTATTGTCCGAAAAATACGTTATGTTGTTTTGGGGTATTTAGGATTAAAGGAGCATTATGTAACTTCTGTTGGTGGATCCTTCACTTGCTCATCTCCATGGAGATGATAATGTGTTAATGTTGCCAGCTGCTTGTTTCCATGTAAATATCCAAGTTTGATTCCATATGATTAGGACTGGGTATCATTAAGAAGTTACCGATTGCGATACATATCTCAATTGATAGGTCACGATATGATACATATCTCGATATAGTGCACTTCTGTTTCAATACGATATATTTCAAATCAGTGATCAATCAGTGATGACTGTGATATTATTATTAAACCACTTCTTGCTGAATATAAGTGAATATCAAACTTACCCATTTTAATCATCAAAATAGTCAAAATGTCAAATGTGTTGCATAAACAAGTTTCCTTCCACTAAACAAACAACAAAACTGTAGTGCTGTCACAAAATAATTTAGTAAAATATACCAAAAAATACTCGTGGCGATATATCGATACAGCAGCCCATGATATTGATATTGTATCATCACATTTAATGATATGATATATTGATATTTTGATATTTTTGCACACCCCTAATGCTGAACATTTTAGACAAAGAAATAGTACCTCCATATGAGCAGTTGCTGATCCTCCACTTGAAAATGTACTTTGCGCCCCTTTAAACTGTAACATGTGTAGATCAGTGTTTTGTGTTGTTAACTGGAAATGACAGTATTGATCTAAGGAAGCCTAAAGCAACACTGTGTAACGTTCTGTAGGTGGCACATCACCTGCATGATTCCCTGGAAAGAGAAAGTTAAAACAGTTCTTAGGAACAGTCAGGTTTGTGGAGATACAAGCCTGCGCACAGTAAGGACGTGTGTTTTTCAGTGCAATAAAAACTACAAAAAACATGCTTTTACTTAAGTATATTTTCAGGCTAAAAACTTACACGGTATGGCTTTAATAATAGAAACAGGTCTATTGATTTCCTGTTCAGAACTGCAGAACTGATTCTTTTCCTTGCGGCATTCATAGTGGATTTTCATGTACTTTGATTTTATTCTTACAAAAATGACTACACAGCATATTGTTACGAGTCAGTCCACCTCATATATAGAAGTACCTCACGATTACCAGTCTCTCCTCACT